TCTGTTTTGGCAAGACCATCGAACCTAGAATTTTGGATGCTGTAAAATGACCTAATCCCACTTTGATTATCACCAGAGAATTTGTTTTTCTTTTTATAGACGGGTACAACCAACGATTTACACCAATCCAATAGGGGTACCTGAGGTCCCCAGGTATCATTATTATTATCTTAGTTAACCCACCTAATAGTTCATCATCACCACCTTTAAACACTTCCGGAGGCATGAGGTCTCACTATTTTGCTTTGTTTAAGATCAGAGACAGCATTTTTAACCTCAGTTACAGTTAGATGCCCGATGTCTAAATCTCATGTAAGTGTTGAACGCTAGGCAGTTTTGGCATGGTTATGGGCGAGTTAAATTTCTCCTCACTGTTTCCTTCAACTTTCGCATCGTTTGACCTGAGAAGTAATTATAAAAACTGTTCTTTTGGGAAACCTATTTGGCTAGCAAATGGTTTTTTACCATTATTTTTTGGGATCAGTCGGAAACCGACAAACTTGCGTTAGTGAAATCTGGGATTAACTTTTTGAAAGCTGTATTAGTAAAAATGAATATCCTAATGTATTCTGGAAAGCGCTTAGGCCTAACCGTATATGTCCGAATTCCAAAACATTAAAGCGCTATACACTTAATCGCATTGATGCAATCAGTTCTCGTGTTGTAGAGCTAAACAGGAACATATCTTTGAGACGTCACGTTCTGTTTGAACTTTCAACTGATGAACGCCGACAATTCGAGGAATACATTCCTCTTGTCATTAAAAATGGTCCCAGTCTGCTAATCTCAAACATATTGATAGCCTCAAGCAGGTAGTAGCAGAATAGAGATTTCCGAGTGCTCCCAATTATTCTTCCATCGCTCTTTCTGAAACTCAACTACAAGCCCCATCACTGGGCGCCAATTTCAGTAACAGTTCGTCCAAAGTCAACAGATTGCATACTCAAATGCAGTTCAAAAATCTAATTAACCAGACCAATGATCTCACGCCCAAATCCTCTCAGGAATTCCAACACTTTAAATCTACAGTTCTTGATTGCTGTCATCAGTTTACTAGTTCAAAACCTAGCTCGAATAATCTTCTAACCAAAGAGCATATACACCAACTTAGAGAACTAGAGAAGAATGATGATATTATCATATGCCATCTAAACAAAGGTGGGGGTATTGTAGTTATGAATCGCAAAGATTAAAATGATAAAATCTCAGTAATCCTTTCTGACCAAATGAAATTCGCCAAACCCGATGGTGAAAAGAACAAGATACATTTAATTGAAAATCAACTGACTGATATCTTAAAGAACATGAGGAATAAGTCAGTAATCTCGTCATATATATATATATATATATATATATATATATATGAACGCATCCGACCAGTAGGCTCCATAATACCACGTTTGTATGGACCCAGAGACAACAGAGGACTTGATGACGCCACTACTGGAGAAGGTGTCGAAAGAAGGCAAAGTACCCGAGGATTGGAAGAAAGGATACTTATTCAAACTACCAAAGAAAGGAGACTTAAGTCAATGCAAGAACCGGCGCCGAATTATGCTCCTATCCATCCCAAGCAAAATACAAAGTCGCATCATCCTGGAGAGAATCAAACATGCCAAGCTGGATGAAAAACTTCGACCGGAACAGGCTGGATTCAGGAGAAACAAATCATGCATTGATCAGATCACCACATTACGTATCATCATTGAACAAAGTTTGGAATGGCAGTCACCTCTCTATCTCAACTTCATCGACTTTGAAAAGGCCTTCGATAGCGCAGCGTCGATCGAGAGGTGATTTGGCAACTACTTCGCTACTACGGTGTGCCACCGACAATTATACATCTCATCCAACAGCTGTACGACAATGCTGCATGCCAAGTAATCCACAACGGGAAACTCATGGAATCCTTCGAAGTGAAGACAGGAGTAAGACAAGCTGGCTGCCTACTATCGCCCATGATTTTCCTGATTGCCGAAGATTGGATAATGTGACAGACAGCGGGCAATGAGGAAACAGGCATAAAATGGACTCACACAAAAAACTTGGAGGATCTAGACTTCGCCGATGATATATATATGTCTGATTTCCCACAAACTGGAAGATATGCAAGCGAAAAGCAACAAGTTAGCAGAAGAAGCATCAAAGATAGGACTTCAAGTGAACATAGATAAAACAGAGGTGATGAAAATTCCTGGGCAACACCACCAACAGCAGCAACAACAACTGACAACAATCAGCATAAATGGGAGGAACCTGAAAGAAACAACCTCCTTTACCTACCGACCTGGAAAGCATCGTTTCAACTACAGGCGGAACTGACGAGGATATCAAAGCAAGGATCGGAAAAGCAAGACAAGCTTTCACTACTCTCAAGTCAGTGTGGAGGTCAACAACTCTCAGCATCAAAAATAAGATCCGGATTTTCAACTCCAATGTGAAGTCAGTGCTACTATACGGATCAGAGACTTGGCCAGCGCGTCATAAACAGCATCTCAAACAAACTACAGACCTTCATTAACAGTTGTCTTCGCTCAATACTCAAGATCAGATAGGGCCAGAAAAGATCAGCAACAGGGATCTCTTGGAGCGAACCAACCCAGCAGTAACCGATTGTGAAACAAATAGGCAGGAAGAAATGGAGATGGGTTGGTTGGTCATACTCTGAGGAAACCATCAAGTGACATCACTAGACAAGCCATTGCTCGAGTAGAACCCGAAAGGGAAGTGGCGAGTTGGTCGTCCAAGGGTGACTTGGAGGAGGTCATGTGAAGAGGAGATGAAAACGTGTGGGAAGACTTGGAGCCAGGTGAAGACTCTAGCAGAGAACCGAACGCAATGGAGACGCACGGCTGAAGCCCTATGTTCCTCTAGGAATTAAAGGAATCAATAATATTTATAATAATAATGGACTACCGAAAATTCACTAGATTAACCCTCAATCCAGTTCTCAATATGGCGGTTTCCCTTATCACAGAATTGCTCAATGGCTAGCTGAAATACTGGAACCAGTTAGAAGGCAAGTGTCTAAGTTTTCCATTGATGATACGTTTAAATTTATTGAGAGTATTAAAGATTTTAATGTCTCAGACAAAGTCATGTTCTCATTAGATGTGACTTCGCTATTTACCAATGTACCGCTCATGGAAACTATTTGCTATTTTGATTGCACACTAGTTGCTGACTAGTGTGCAATCAAAATATCCAATACAGTCCTACAGGAGATCAGTTGCAAGCCTGAATAGCTCAGTGGTAACGTCTCTGACTGCAGCACTGGGTGACGCGGGTTCGAATCTCAGAAGGGACATCAATTCCTTCAAGGTTGCAGATACACCTTGCTGATGAGTGCCAACTAGCACGAAACCTATGTCCAAGGCTTCCTGCCGATTGCCTCCAACCATCTAATACCAAACTATTTGCTATATGTGTGATTATATTGATACACATAGTTTAGAAATAGGGTTGCCGACAATCCACTCCAAAGAACTTTTATTGAGATGCACGTTGAATGTTCAGTTCACCTTCAATAATGAGATTTTTAGGCAGAGAGATGGCATTGCAATGGGATCACCACTGGGTCTTTTGCTGGCTGATTGTTTTATGGCAAAAGCGTGAAAATTCTCAACTTAGTCAACCCATCAATCTTTTCGACATTTATAAAAGATACGTAGACGATACTTCCGTTATCTGCAATAATAACGTAATTCTGGATGATGCCTTGTTTACTTTCAATAACTGCCATCCTTCTTTACAATTCACCATAGAAAAGGAATCTGAACTAAGGATTCCGTTTCTTGATGTGTACCTTAGTAGACGTAATGACGGATCTCTCAAAAGATCCATCCACTGGAAACGTACATAGAACGGACAACTAACTAATTTTTATAGTTAGGTGCCTATCTCCAGAAAAAAACCCTAATCCATTCGCTCTGCTTTATGATAAGAAACATTTGTAGTTCTGACTGCGTTGACTCAGAACTTGACTTCCTAAAAGCCACGCCCGCAGAAAACGGTTACCCGAACCGATTTATTGACAGTAACACGAAAGATAAGCAGTCTAGACTAGTCACCGACTCAGTTCCAAAGAAAACCTTATTCATGAACTTGGAATTCAAAGCTGATCAAGCTTCAGATATTCTCAAAATCCGTCTCTCTAAAGCAGTCAGTAAGACGTTCTTTGCAGCAAAATTACAAATGACGTTCACTAGGCGCAAGTTGTTTTCAATCTCTGTAAAAGATAAGCACCCCCGTCTGGCCGCCTCCATGTGCATTTATCAGTTCACCTGCTCTTGTAGAAGGTACACTGGTCGTAGCCAGAGGACATTTTCCACACGGATACGAGAACTTATTACAAGGGAGAAAGGAGGCGTGTGCGAAGCTGTATTCTAAAACACCTGATCAACTCCTGTCACTCTGCCAACCCTGACCATGATTTTAAGATCATCTACCGAATCCATGCTAACTTGCCGCGTCTTCTTCGTTAGAGACTTCTAAAGACAGCGGAGGCTTTGGCAATTCATGACTTTAAGCCAGACAGGTCTTTGTGTACAAAAGAAGTATGTACAATCCCTACTTCTGCCTTGGCCGTAGAGGGATAGACATTTATTTATTTTGTTTATTTATTTATTCTTTGTACCTTTCCCTTATTACTACGATTATTATTGTTACTACTATTCTCACTCTGAATTGTTTCCGCTTGTCTCAATTGTCATTCTAAATCCAAAATAACTTTTTTTTTACAATATTGAATTCTGTCTCATCAAATTTTACTCAACGTTATGCAACATTTTATATTCGCCTAGTAATCCTATAATTATGTACCCCTTTCCAACATCTATAAACCATATGTATTATTCTATATGTGACATTAATTGTTTTGCTACTTGACATTTAACTATGACTATAATCACATATATTTTAATTGTATTTCATACTATTATTATTTCAAGTATTCACACCTTTGATTCAGTCCCCCCACACAGGACATAACTTCCTAAAAACCGTATATATACCATTGTACAGCTTGATAATAAATTTGTTGAAAAAAGTATCTATATTTCACAGAGTATTTACAAAATCGAATATAAGTTTATCAACAATTGAATAGGTATTATCATCGGGCCTCGAAAACGCTCACTGAAATATAAAAAATAGTTAAAATCAATCAGTTAAGCAAGAAAACACACGATAAAAAAAATTAATAATCTAGTTACATCGAACAATTATTTGCAACAGTGATTCACGGTTAAAATAGAGAGCACTACGTCATAATTATTTCTTATTTCATTCAAAAACACAAACTTGGTACAATATAGACACCCCAAGAGATGCGTCATAATCAGTAGAAGTGACTTCTCTATGAAAAAATTGCTAACGCAGAGTAAATCTAAAAACATTATAGAAGACAAATACTATTCAATGAAAGAAATGAAGAAACAATTCGACTTTCTAGAGTGTTTCCTGTTCAAAGTATTGATATCAACAGTTTGTTAGTAAGTGAAGCGACTAATGTGGTAATACCCTTTATAAACTCTCCCAGACAGCGAACTTCAAGAGTTAAGACTTTGCTCACTAGGTTGATACGCTTATACAATATGATTATTATTATTAGTGGTGGTTGAAAAATTGAAAGTGAAACAAAATAATAAATAAAGACTCCAGTTTAAGAATGAAAACCTGATAAGGTGATGTAGACTTCGTAAGTTAAAGACGAAAATAACAAGACAGATTCTTTTTCTTAAAAAAAAGTCTCGGTGTAAGTGACAACTCTTCAAGGATTTTCTGTTGATTCTTGCAGAGATTGGTGGATGGGCTTGCATCAGCTATATGTTGATGTGGTTGGTCTGTCATTTTGGATTCAATCAAACTAAGGGTAATTATCAGATAATAGACAGTCTTACTTTATTCCAAATTGTACTGATTATCAAATAACTTTTGAATTTTATCCTTGATTACCTGTATATTACTAGATAAATGAAATACAGTAGTACTATTTTGAGTTTAATTATCTTTTGTGTAAAAATGTATTACTCTAGTGTGTACAGTATACATTTGGAAGTTGGTGAACGCTCTTTTTGATTACCACTTAGTAATTTCAAGTTCTGGTAAGGCGTCAATCAAGATGGATTAGTGAATAATTTCATTCTTATTGATACTGCTTATTCAGCTAAACTATTGTCGACATGTATAAGCACCTTGAATATGTTTTCGAATGAAAACAGAAGATAAGCTCTCAAATACGAATTGTGTACATTATTATTATTATTCCCTTGAGTTCCGAGTGGAACACAGGGTTTCAACAACACAACTCCACTTTGTCCTATCTTCTGCCGTCCTCTTCAGCTTGGACCACGGTTGCCCACAATCTCTCACCTCCTACACACACGATCTGCTCCATGTCACCCCCGCACCGACGACCCACTGGTCGCTTCCCATTGGGATTCTATTCCAGCGATGACCTGCATTGCGCGTGATGTCATTCGACGGTCTCCTTAATGTATGCCCGGTCAATCTATCTCCATTTTCTCCCACGTATTTGTTGAGCGATCGGCTGTTGGTTGGTTTGTTACTTGCTTATTCTTTTTGGCTATTTGATCTTCAGTATAGAGCCAGCGAAGTGGGCAGCTGTTGATGAAAGTCTGCAACTGGCTGTTGGAAATCCTTTTCGTGGTACGCAGTACAAGTTTCTGACCCGTATAGAAGGACCGACTCGACATTGGTGTTGAAAATCCGAATATTGTTCCTTATACTGAGCGCAGAAAATTTCCAAATTGGTTTCAGATTGGTGGTGTATCCTGCCTTTTCGATTCTGACTTTGACATCTTCATCCGTTCCGCCTGTAGTTGAGACGATGCTTCCCAGATAAGTGAAGGAGGCAACCTCTGTTAAATCTCTCCCGTTGATGGTGATTGGTGCTGGTTGTTGTTGCGGTTTGGTGATTATCTTCATGACGTTCGTCTTCCCTGTGTTCACCTGGAGTCTTGTCTTTGCTGACAGCCTCTTCAGCAAGTTTGTTGGTTTTCGCCTGCAAGTCTTTGAGTTTGTGTGACATTAGACATATATCATCTGCGAAATCCAGATCTTCTAGAGTCTTCTTATCGGTCAGTGCAGCGTACTCCAGTCTGACGCATAATCCAGTCCAACACCATTAAGAATATCATCGGTGGTAGTAAAGAGGCAGCCAGTTTGTCTTACTTCTGTATGCACTTCGAACGCCTCGCTGTGTTTCCCGTTGTCGGTCACCTGACACGTACCACTCTCATATAGCCAGCTGTTGAATGAGGTCGATAAAGAGTTGAGGTACGCCATAATGTTGAAGTAGTTTCATAATTACGTCTCGGTCAACGCTGTTTGTCGAAGGCCTTTTCGAAGTCGATGAACTTGAGGTAGAGGTTTGACTGCCATTCTATGCTTTGTTCGATGGCGATGCGTCGTAGAGGTGCAATTTGATCAGCACGTGATTTGCCTTTATTGAATCCAGCTTGTTCTGGTCGGCGGAGCGGAGTTCTGTATCCAGTGCATCTTTTATTCCCTCCAGGATGACGCGACTTAGTAGTTTTCGTGGCGCAGACGAATGCTTTATTCCATGCCAGTTCTTGCAGAGTGAGACCTAAGTCGCTCTTCTTTGGCAGCTTGACAAGGCAGTCAGCTTTTCTTCCAATCGGTAGGCACCTTCTCTTCCTCCCAAACCTTTTGTAATATTGGCGTGAGGACATCTACCGCAGTCTCTGGATCCGTTTTCAGTGCTACCTGCTATCTTTCCGAACTTCAGTAGCTTGATTGCATTTAGGATTTCTGCTTTCGTTGGAGGGCTGGTGTCCACTGGCAGGCAGTTCCATGAGTGTTGGTAGTGGTATTCCTGGGCGAGTTGCAGGTGATGGTCGACTCAAGAGTCCTTTGAAGTGATCAGCCCATTGTTTCATTTGTTTATCCCCCTTGGTAGTCTGGTTTCCTTGAGCATCTTTTATTGGTCTCATCATCTGGGTTGGTCTTTTTCCGGATAGAGAACTGGTTATTTGATATAACATTCTGAGATCTCTCTTGCCTGCGACCTGTTCTGCTTCAGTTGCCGGCCAGTGTGTTGTAAAATTGTCTTTTCTAGCACTCTTCTTCAGTTCTTTATTCAGTACAGTGTACATTGAACTCAGTTTCTCCTTCTGTTGCCCGTCTTTGCCCTGAGTCAGCTTCTCTTGCACCATCCTCCTCTCCTCTCTTCTGTTAGCATCCAGGTGGTGTTCGTTGAGAGCCATTCCTTTTCGTGTCTCTTCCTTCTTCCTAGAACAGTTGTACACATTTCTTTGAGTATCACCTTCAGAGAGATAGTTTTAATGTTCTTCCCCGCAGGTTTCTTCAGTGATGCCACGTAGTGTCTCCAACTTTGCAGTGAAGGCATCCCTTGTAGTTATGTCCTTCAGTTTCTGGATACTGAACTTGAATTGTGGCTTGTCTCTAGTTTTTCTGAAAGACTACAGCTTCGCCTTGATGGTTCCTTATGGTCTGAGCCCACATCTGCTCCCCTTCTCGACTTTGTGTCCAGCAGGCTGCGTCTCCACATTCTTGAGCACTATTGAGACGAAATCGATCTGGTTAGTGGTGTGTCCGTCAGGCGAAACCCATGTTGCTTTGTGTATATCCTTGTGCTTGTACACACTGCCTTTGATTACCAAATCATTGAAGGTGCAGAAGTATCATTCATTTCTCCAGGCGAGAGCCTCTCGACCCATGATGAGTCCTCTTCCTGCAATATCTGCTCCTAGTTCGTTTGGTGTTCATATCGCCCATGAGGATTTTGATGTCACCATTTGGGATGTTGTCCATTACTGTTTGTAGTTGTATGTAAAAATCTTCCTTCTTTTCTTGTTCCGCATTGTTTGTAGTACTGTGAGTAGCATTGGATAATTGTTACCTTCCTTCCTTTGGAGTTGAATCTTGCTGTCATGATCCTGGATGAAATTGGTTCCCATTGCATTAGGGCTTTGGCTGCTATTGGTGACATCATGATAGCTGCTTAGTGCCTGAATGTGTCAGTGGTTGTCGTCTGGATGACCAGGCCGGAGTAGATTATTGACTCTCCCGTTGACAATGTTGTCAATCCACATCCATTCCATCTGCTTTCTCAGATACCCAGTACTTCTAAGCCATATCTTCGCATTTCTTTGGCTACCTGGGCAGTCTCCCCAGCCAGCCTCGTACATTGTACAGACGTTCCACGTACCCATTCTTACTCTTGCTTTCATCGAGAAAAGACGCATCGGCTGGCTGACTGGCTTCCTGAAGGCCGGCTTTCACCAGCCCGCTGTGTCATTTCGCCTCTCCGATTCTAGCGAAGAATAAGATTTTTATTTGAAGTTTTGGTATTTTTAATATATTTCCTTTGTGTTGAAGTTTCTCTAGCGGTTAGATAGCTTTTGTGGTGTAGGGTTGCTAGCCCTACGCCTAACCTTCCCTCTTTATCCGGGGCTTGGGACCGGCTAGAAAACTAGCAAGCTAGTTAACTAGGCGAGGTTGAATTGTGTACATAGTAAAGAGAAATAAGTACAGTGACCACATATTGCAAACTAGCTATCACACACACAGATATGTTGGAAACTAATCATAGCACAGGATATTTTTCAAAATTATTCCAGTCGATATTTTGGGAAAGTGACGGAGATAGACAACTAATGAATTGTAAGCTTAAAAACTTCTTTCCCGAAATTATGTTAACGACGCTTGAAATATGTTTTGTTTCCCTGTTTTTAAGTGAATTAGTTAGTTTCCAAAGGTTTATTTCATTAACCATGTGAAATTTGGAATATATTTTATTGTAGTAATCACGAACACTAAATGACATTTTACTTTTTCACTATTAGGAATAGATTAGAATTCTTTTTAACCATTCACTTTGCGTTTAGTTTCTTATAATAAATCCAATATTTTTATTCATGAGTGAAATATTACCATCGTCATCCCTTCAGCCTAGTGCATAACCTGCGCGCTTTCTGTTCATACAGGCAACTTTGTTCAGTAGCAAATACGGTTTTACTCGAAACTATTTTATCTCCCTTGTTCATCATATTGCAACAAAAAGGAGAGAATTTATGGTTATCACATATAGTAAATAAACAAAAGAACCAAAGGAAATACAGTAGTATAAAGAAGAAGAATTAATAGGGAATAATATTATACTTTATAGGAGAATAAAGTATGTGTTTAAGTCAGTTTTATCCATTCTGTCTCGAGGATCCTAACTAGGAAGTCTGTTGCTCTTAAGATGACTCAGAAAAACAGATGAAAATGAATGGGTCCCAGTTTAGCCAGATTAACTTAGCATTTGTTGTGTCTACAGTACAGCCATTCTACCGCAACACCAGTAAAGATAACAGTAATCACACAACCACAACCAGTGATAAGTTTAACTACTTGATAAAACATAGGGGTAACATAACATGGTGAGCGAAGTATGTAAAACAACTACTTAGGGTTTTTATGAACGAGAAGTTGGAAAACTCACTTTACTAATAACTTACTTCTTTTGGAACGCTTCTTATAAAGAACTCTGTGTCCACATTCGAGGCAACGAACGAGTTCCCTGGGTCGGATTTCATTTTCAGCTCGGCATTCTAAAATTTAATTGATTTAATTATTTGTTACAATAATCAAATATGAACTAGTTTAAAACACGACAGCTTTGGAAAGACAGAATACTTCTGTTTTTTCTCATTATAGCTTGATTCCACACCATATTATCGGTACAAGTATGGAATTTTCAGCATGTCGGTAGCCCAAATTTAGCAGGCCAACCAAATGATATCAGGTGTGCGTCGGCCGGGGACCATGTGCAAGGTTGGCGAGAGTCCTGATCGCTGTGCCACCGAATACAGCGTCTGCTAAATATGAGATTCGTATACACATTTTCAAACTGCAAGTATGTACCTCAATGAAGAGCAGTATACTCTCAAAGAACTTCAATAACCCGGAGGAACGTACATCTGATGACGTTATTTCCGTGCAGCTCAAAACAATTAACACGTATAATAATAGGTTTCACCTCATCCGTTGTAGTATGGTTAATTTACAGTTTCTTGAGCGTTTGAATGTGAAATACGTTCCAGAAAGACACTATGCAACACTGGTCAATTCGACTGATCAATGTAACTAGTGATAATTCAAAGAAAAGAGGCATGAATTTCAGACTCGTCAATAGCTTATGCATACCTTCCTTCCTACTTAGGATTATTCATTTTGAAACTTGTTACAATGAGAAAGGGATAAGTGATTAAAATTTATATATGAACTTGAGTTACCAGTATCAAGTATTGTAATACCTACTAGTGTTTAAGGGAATTAGACGACATATATGCGAATAGTAGGTTTCCAGTTACATCTTTCTCAAGCTTTACTCTAATAAATATAGTTCTGAATTTTCGGAGAATTTTAACAAGTGAAGGTTTGTGGGACGTTGAAAAATATTGTAAATTATGCAGTTAATAGCAACGACAGTAATAATAACTGCTACTGTAGTTATACTGATAGTTGTTAGTGGTAGCATTAGTATTGTGATGGAAATAATAATGATGATGACAGTACTAGTAATAATATCACTGATAAAAGAAACAAAAATATCCGAAGCGGCAATAATGACGATGTAGATATTTTAATAAAGAAAACAAGGGAAAATGTGATTATGTTTGGTACGCAGTTTGCACTTGCCAGATGTATAACTGGTCTGCACCGGCTTCTAATTTAAAAATGGAGAGTAGAAAGGTTGAATATGTTAACCACTCCGTTCTTTTCAGAAGTCACTAAAGAAACCTTAGTACGTATATTGAAGGCTTACATAATACCTCTCGACTCGAATATCTTTAAAATCCACATTGTACCTACCTACTCTATTTTTCTCATCCTGGTTTACAGCTGAGGTACAGTTCATTGCGAGTAGAAGAGAATAGAGGTGCCTTCGTTTGGTTGCTTATGTTAGGTGGGACGATACAGTTATTAATAATGAGGTTAGAAACAGTGGTAGATAGGAAAAGAATCTATGAAGTCTCACCAACTGAAATGTCTTGGATAAGTATAACACATGCCGAATCACTCCCATCCTCCACTGGTGGTAATGTTAACTGAAGTAGAATTGGGTTGGTAAAGAGTCTGTATGAATCCAGTGACCTGGGTCATGTACAGAGTGGTAGACTATTTGACTGATGTCTTGAATATCGCTCGCAATGATGCAAAACGTATTTACGCTTTTTATCGTTCAAACGCTGAAAAGCCTCGCTAAGTTTAATTGAATTCTCTCCACTACATCAAATTTTAAAACAAGTAACAAGCGTTAATAAAGCGGGATTTAATGAATTCATCAAATTTCGGTAGGACTCTACAGCTGAATACTCAATATATATATACATATATATATATATATATATATATATATATATATATATATATATACCAACCAGGAAGTCTACACCTTCCTACGTGGCCTGAACTAACTGTTGTGGTTTACATTGACTGATAAGGCCATGTTTTGGTTTGAGCACCACTAGCTCTTTTCCAACTTGACCCTATGTCAGCTAACATTTCCCGTTGCCGAAGAAGGCGATGGCTAGGCATGCGTAACACATGTCCAAACCATCTCAATCGATGTAACTTCACAGTCTTGTCTATTGATTTCCCCTCCTTACCTAGCACTCGTCCGAAGTGTAACCTCAATATTGCTCACACTATTATACCACCACCTAACACGGGAGATAGAACGCAGGCACCTACGATCAAAGACAGCTAGTCTTTTCATGTCCTTCACTCTTAATGGTCAGGTCTTACAATTATAAAGGAGGACGGAGCGGACTGCTGGGCAGTACACACGCCCTTTGGTCGATAGCCGGATATCATGTCTACGCCAGAGACGAAGTAAACTGGCAAATGTGAAACTAACCTTCTGTATCCATGCTGAGATTTCGTCAGCGATCAACCCGCTGGCACTGACTGATGCAACTTCCCAAATAAATGAAGTGGTCAACACGCTCAGCCACTACTTCACTCTCTTTTCTAAGCTAGGAGTCAATGTAGTCCAGTCGGGAGCGAATTGCATGTCAAACATTTGCAGATTGCAGTTCAAGGTGCTCAGAAAACTCTGCATTTTGTCAGAGTCTTCACCTAGAAGGACTATATCATCTGCATATTCTAAGTCAGCGAGATTACTCCCTAGTGGTAACAAGTCAATCCCTAAGTCGCTGACGTCACTTAGGGTTAAGTCTATTAGTACATCTATGATGAAATTTACTAGAAATGGGGATAGTGGGCATCCCTGATGGACACTACTAGTTGTCACCAGTTCCTATGACAACTCACCGTGAACTTTCGCCTGGCTGCATGAGTTCGAGTAGAGTGCCTTAATCAGTGCAATTTACTTTCTCGGCATTCCCTTCACAGCCAAATATCTTGGTCGACAGAATCGAATACGGCTTTTCGGTGAAGAAATATAACAATTGTTGGACGCCGGTGAGTATGCCTATGTCCCAGAATCTATCGAAGGGTGAAGATATGTTCAATACACCTTAGTCTAAAGCCTGCCTGGTTCTCTCGTGTTTGTTCCTCCCGAGCACCGCTCGAGAGGTGACTCGAACTGTTGTATATCGGTGCAAAGTTCTATGTTGGAACCAGTCAGTCAGTCAGTATGATTTACTGGCAGATAAAAACTTGATAATTTCAACGTGTGATGAAAAAAATGCAAGCTAAACTGAAGAATGTTAACAAACGTTAATTAATATTTTAGAAGGTGTGAATTGATTTCAATTAAGAGGCAAGTTACTTATATTACTTGAGGAATTTCTGTCAATCTGAAATGACTGTTATTTAGGCCCATTTACTGCTGGATCTGTAATATATCCGGATGGCTTTCTAACGTGATTCACCAACTCGACAAGCAAACAGCTCCTAACACAGTTCAAATAACTGAGGGAGAATAATACAATTACATTTGTTCTATATTATATTCAGGTATAGGTATATGAGTTTATAAGAATGTACCGACAAAACACAATGAAGTCAATATGCCATGTCAATACTATAACACTCTTGAAGCTATTGACACACGTTAACTGCACATCTACTTAATTATCCTATTTAGCCGATGTGAGATATGTAAATGTTACGACAACGTTGAATGCTTTAAGACCACATACTTCAGAAAATTTAGGGGAAAATGCGAAAATCTTGGTGCGTCCGAAGGAAATGCCATTCCTGATTGCAACTGGATTTACCGGGATAGCATACACAATTGATTCAGTCTTCATGAATGACACAGTAAGGGAATTCGAAAGGAAGGTAGATTTCCCACTTCCTTCACTTAAACGTCCCGAAAATTCTCCTCCTGAAGACTGCACTTGCGAAGTGTCTTCGTCTGCACCACTGCAAGAACCTCAATCACGCCCAAGTGAATTTTTGACATCGTCATACATTCATGAGGCAAAGTAACGTTTGAAAAAATCAGTGAACCGGAACTTAATTGAAGTAATTTATCCAACAAGGTTTCAAGGTTAATTACTTACATACTTACTTACTTACTACTGGTGACTTCGTAGCCGCTAAATTACAATACGAGGCCAATCAACACACCTATTTACACTACATTTTGAAGCATATCCATCGTTCATTGTTTTGGTCAACGGTATTTCCTGACAAGACAAATGGTATAGGACTGAAATAAACTACCGACATTGTGAACACTTAATTGATCTTTGTCGATTGCATCGAGATTTTTAAATGTTATAAAAAATTCCGGAAGAAATAAGTACAATGTTTGGGCTGTTGCAACAAGTCGCCAGGATTTTAGAGATTTTTTATAGATTTCCTGGAATCCATGGTCTGAATCAGACCATTTAACAAAGTATCTTGACGTTCACATGCCTGTTATCTACAACAAAATAGCATATGAAGTAAGCTGACAGTTGACGTGTAAATAATGACTTCGAAAGCGTTGCACCTACTAACCAACTGATATTTCAATACAGCTAGAGAATACCACTCTATGAGTTTTGATTAAGGATTTTACGTCTATTAATCTTTAGTGGCAACTAAGATTTTCGGTTTTATTGAAATATCTGCTGGGTTTCATCAAGACTAGTCGTCAATCGACAAACGAAAACATGGAATAATACACATAGTTAACTGACCTCCACATATATATGACACTGTTTTTGACAGGTGTGGTACAGCATTTGCAGATGGGGTAGCACTACCATCGATTGTACTCTCCATATCTCGCCGAATAATTCAGTATTCCTTATTCCTTTACGACTCAGTAGCAGCACGACCGTGTAGCGCCTAGAATTGTTTGGAGGTAACAAAGTGGAACATTTCAATGTACACTGCGTACTTTATATCAATAAAATCTTTCCGTTTTCTGTGGAGCATTTTAAGTTTTATATTCCATTTTTTCTATTTATCCTCGGGATATTCATTCATCTTATCGAAATGGTTCTCAAAAATTAGTATGTAGCGGTAGATAATTCCGCGAAATTATTAGCCACAGCATTCATCGCTCAATACTGGATGCCGACCTTACCTGTTTAAGCCGAATTGTTTAGCCAAAGGCTTGCAATCAAGCATCCACGCCATTTGGCACGCTGTCGGAATCCGTTCGGCTGTTCGTGCATGATCCTTAGCCACTTTGGCAGTCATCCTCTCACTACGATTTTAGTCCCGAAGTATACTTGGTATTTTTGGGGGTCAACTTGGTGTTTTGCCTTGTCTTTGGTTCCCGCGGAACGAATGCTATAGGATTTGTGGGTACAAGATCTTCCGTTAGTACACGTCGTACTATCCGGGAACATCAAAACCCTCAGCCTCCCAAAGTACTTTAACAGTGGATGGCATTCAGAGGTATACTTTTAGTCATTTTGCCCTCAGAATATATCATATAAGAGTAAATTCCACAAATTTATTTGCGTCACCTTAAACCTGAATTGTTGTTATGATGTGTCCGGCTTATGCCTCGCCTATCCCTATTACATTGTTACTAATAATCTTTTAGAGTGCAAGTGGAACATAGGGCTTCAAAGCCGCATCTCCATTTCATCCTGTTTTCTGCTGCCATCATAGGATATCCTCTGTCTCACCTTCGGGTATCCAACTCATCGTTTCCATGGCCTGGCGCACAATGTCAATCAACAGCCTCCTGATCATCTTTCCGACCGCATTTTCCTCATTCCCCATTTTCTTCTGCAAATCTGTTGGGTGATAGGCTTACACTTAGTTCGTTCTCAGAGTTCTCTGTCAGTTACACTTTCCGGTCGGTCATCCGAGCGAGAGTAGCTGATGACGAAAAACTTAAGCCAAGTTTCTAGCGCATTTAGAAGAACTCGCTTAACATTAGCTTGTTTGTACTGGGTGCAGCAGGTTTCCAAATTGATTTCATAGAGATGAAGCTGTGCCTCCTCCCTCTGATTCCGGATATGACATCCTCTTCCGTTCCCGCTGGCTGCCGTCGAAAGAATAATGATAATGATTGATACTTATTGTTGTCGACTGGTTATTTTCATCATCTCCATCATACCGATGATCACTCTTCACCGCCTTTTCTGCCAACAAGTTGGTTTTCTCTCGCGTATCACCTAGTTTGTGCAACATAAGAATTAAATCATTACCGAAATCCGAATCTTCTAAGGTGTTCTCGCGAGTCTGCCACATGCCTGTCTTCTCACTCTTCACAATCTACTGAATGATCTAGTTCACTACGGTCAGGAAGATCCTCAGTGGTAGTAGGCAGCCCTGTCTTCCCTCAAAGGGTTTCGCCTAGCTAGATAAGAATATATATATAGAGAGATATCCGTTGTGAATTGTTTGGCATGTGGCACCATAACTTAGTTGTTGGACGAGGTCCGTAAATGTATGTGCTCTGCACTTCACAGTGTTAGGTCAGTTACCAAATTGCTTCACGGTTGATGCCAACAAAGGCCTTTTCAAAGCCGATGAGGTTGAGGTGAAAAGTTGGATTTCATTCCAGAATTTGTTCGGAGGTGATGCTTTGTGTCAAAGGGTGATCCAACCATGGCTAACTTTTCCCGAATTCAGACTCTTTTGGGAGAAGTCTTACACCCAAGTTATCCTTCCAGACCATGTGAGTTTGCATTTTTCTTGGAGTGAATATGGCATGATGCTGTACACGTTCTTGCACATGCCTGAGTAGCCCTTCTTCATTGGTTTGACAGTTTGTTGCTTCTCCTAATCAACACGTACACTTCTCTCCTTCCACAACTTTTGATTTGGAGGCGTGAGCATGTCCATGGAGGTCTCTGAGTTCGTTTTCACTGCTCATAGAGGAATTGCGTCTGGTTCGGCTGTTTCTCTGGTTGTCTTCCAGTAACTCTATAACATTAAAGGTCTCTAACTTTGTCGAAAGACTGGTCTTCACGGACACTTCGGTGGCTGTTGGTAGTATTCCTATGCGAGTTTCAGATGGTGGTCGATTCAGGAGTCCTTTGTTGTAATCAGCCCATCGTTTCCTTTGTTCATCCTCTTTGGTGAATTCCTTAGTTTCGTCTGTGCTGACCTCTACCACCTGTTTGTTCGACATGGAATTCTTAGGTCTCCCCTACCGGAATATTACTGAGAATGCCCTCATGTAACCATGTGTCTGGTGATCTAATGGGAAGGACTTTTCACGAATGCTATTGATATGTAGTTTGTTGTATGAGTGTGACGAGTCCAAAGCTATGCAGTGCCAAAAATACAGTTATAGCAAAACATTTCGAATCCTAACATCAAAAAGGAAAGAGTGGCGCATGCTGATCAACAGATATGGTTGAGGTCACTAGTGTGTATCATTCCAATTTGTAGGACAGGAACATGCATTTTCGATAGCTCCAGGATTAAATATGAGTTTAGATCCTTAACGTAAAAATCAATGGTGATTCTTTAGATCTAGGTAAAAAACATCTACAAGTCTCCTCAGCTTCTTGTCCAGATACGACCCCATGTGCCCTACACATGTTTATGAAACATCTTATGGGTTAGCATGTCCTACTTGTTCTTATTTTTCAGATCTCTGAAGCCACTTCTGACCTAACGAACCTAATGAAGTCTACTGATGATGCAAAGATAGTGATTAGTGAGCTTTAAAAAATGTTTAAAGAGGATAGTCACGGAATATTCTATCAAGATGTTATCCGCTTACTGAAACCGCACAGCCAGTGTTTATGTGTTATCCTCGTAAATACTAGATCATTTCTGAACAAACACCTAACACTAAGTACATAATAATATATATTTTCCTATCAATGTAGGACACACCAGTTGTACAGGCATGGATAAGTATTATTTAAATTACATGAATTTGATTTATAGTGAAATTACATGGTTGCTGTCCTCTCTGATATCAGTTAGTGAGCACATTCTGATAGTTAGTCGTTCAATGGAGCACATAAAGAAATATAGAAATATTGTCTTCGCATTAACAAAAAAAACCCAAGTATGTGTCGGATAAACTACAAATATTTGGGAAAAAAATAAAGCTTGAAGTCAATTCCTCCATATAACTTTGTTGTGTGCGGCATCGTATCTTGTTTTATGTTCAAATTGTGTATTAATTTAAAATGAGTGATTTATTTTTATGATTTTGACATCACTTAAATTGCAAGTAATACCAGATGTGAATTCAACTGAATGTAGATTAATATTGGTCATTGTCAAGCAGATTTGTTTTACTGCACTCAAGTCACCCATAGCCCGCCATTTGTCACAGCATGGTTGCTCCGTACGAGTAAGTTGATAAACGCGTAGAAAGCTATATAAAAACCATTCTAGATCGTTGACAGTGCTTGTATAAGATGCTGTACAGCGTCTTGTTATGGTGACAGTGGATTTCATCAAGGATGCTGAGCCATTACTAGCCAAACCTTGAGGGTTGATATATGAGTAAGTGACTTCAATTGTTTCTCAGCTTCATTCGGAATGTAGATCAATGCAACTTGTACTACAAAGTAAATACAACAGAAATGTACCAGAGGACAAAGAAAAACCAGGTCGAGTCTAAAACATTTGATTATATTCGTTGTACATTGTAATTTGATGAACAAAAATTTGTTTCTACTATGTCTTTTTGTGCATTTATGCTACTAGTTTATTTATAGTCTTTAGGGAAGTAAGGGTATTTAAGCGCGTTTAGGTACTGTAGTAGACTAATAGTTGATTCGTTCTAGGGATAAATGGTTTATTTATATAGTCGGTAGAGTGAAATAGTCTTTTTATGCATTTATGCTACTAGTTTATTTATAGTCTTTAGGGAATTAAGGGTATTTAAGCGCGTTTAGGTACTGTAGTAGACTAATAGTTGATTCGTTCTAGGAATAAATAGTTTATTTATATAGTCGGTAGAGTGAAATAGTCTTTCTATGCATTTATGCTACTAGTTTATTTATAGTCTTTAGGGAAGTAAGGGTATTTAAGCGCGTTTAGGTACTGTAGTAGACTAATAGTTGATTCGTTCTAGGGGTAAATAGTATATTTATATAGTCGGTAGAGTGAAATAGTCTTTTTATGCATTTATGCTACTAGTTTATTTATAGTCTTTAGGGAATTAAGGGTATTTAAGCGCGTTTAGGTACTGTAGTAGACTAATAGTTGATTCGTTCTAGGGATAAATAGTTTATTTATATAGTCGGTAGAGTGAAATAGTCTTTTTATGCATTTATGCTACTAGTTTATTTATAGTCTTTAGGGAAGTAAGGGTATTTAAGCGCGTTTAGGTACTGTAGTAGACTAATAGTTGATTCGTTCTAGGGGTAAATAGTATATTTATATAGTCGGTAGAGTGAAATAGTCTTTTTATGCATTTATGCTACTAGTTTATTTATAGTCTTTAGGGAAGTAAGGGTATTTAAGCGCGTTTAGGTACTGTAGTAGACTAATAGTTGATTCGTTCTAGGAATAAATAGTTTATTTATATAGTCGGTAGAGTGAAATAGTCTTTCTATGCATTTATGCTACTAGTTTATTTATAGTCTTTAGGGAAGTAAGGGTATTTAAGCGCGTTTAGGTACTGTAGTAGACTAATAGTTGATTCGTTCTAGGGATAAATAGTTTATTTATATAGTCAGTAGAGTGAAATAGTGTGTACAGAGAGCGTTTGAAACTTAAAACTGTATTACAGTTCCTGATATCTAGGGGCAGATTGTTCCATATTTTAGAATACATGACTGTGAAGAAGTTTTCGCGGAGTGTTGACTTAAAGGCTTTTATTGTCACTGTGCAATTTTGGTTACGCAGATCGTAAGAGCCTTCTTGCGCGAATTGTATGTCCTTAATGTCTGAGAATGATATTTTGTGTAGGACCTTATAGAAGAATACTAGGTTTATAATTAGTCGTCTTGTCCAGAGTGGGTCAAGTTGTAGAATCTTGCAACGTGAGATGTAGTCTTTCTTACATTCGTATCCTAGTAGTTTCGAGGTAAAATATCGTTGGATACTTTCAATTCTTAGCTTTTCACGTGTGTGAGTGCTGCTAATAATAA